AACAACGTTAAAACATAAAAATGTCTTAATAAATAAATTGTCGGACCTTGTCCATTTCTTAATATATATATATATATATATATATATATATATATATATATATATATATATATATATAACAGACTATGAATGTCTATTATGTTTCATCATGAGCCGTTCTTAGTCCGGATATCTTTTTTATGTTGTTTCTTGATCTAAGCTTTTGACTCCGATGAACAATCTTCAAAGTGCTTATGCGGATATTTAAACAAAGATATTCATCATCAAAGATGATATTCTGTTATGTTGGCATAGAAGATTGCTATGCGAGGATAACGGTCGCTGAATAGCAGACGCAAGTCGTAAATTCATGATGAGGTTCTATGGCGTCGTACCACGTGAGAGACGGAAATATTCACAACAGAGCCATATGTCTAGAGGCAATGTAATGTGTTGCGACTAGTTTGAAATGTAATTTTGTTCAATGTGGGTTGCTTTGCTCTCTCTCTCACACACACAGAGTAAAAAGAACCTTCAGATATTAGTTGCCATCTACATTAAAACAAAGAAACCCATGTGTTTAGAACGGCTCATAATAAACATATATCTATATGCATCATTTCACCCAAAGCAAGGCGATAATGTCACTAGGATGGGGCTACTGGAAGTGAAAGAGAATGAGAAGGCTTTAGTGAGGAGAAAGAACAACAAAAAAACAGGATTCAGGGAAACAGAACATAACGATTGGCAAGTTAAAAAAAACATCGATTCATTTCATTTTGTAATGTTTTCATTTAAATGCGGGGGTGGCATCAACTGCAACATGTTTGGAATGGTTCGTATCTACATATAAAGAACGCATATTTTACAGTAAAAAAAACAGTTTGTCCGGTGTCATAAGTTGAAAGCGACTAAAATAACAACATTCCTAAAAATTCTAGAAGGAAAATGATTAAAACTGTTTTGAAGTTTAACATTAACGTTCGTGATAATGAATTGCGTTGGTCGAAATGCCTTAAACTTTGAACAGTTTCTTTATAAATTTGATCTGGAATTTTTATACGCCAATTGGAAAAATGTACTAAAAGATTGAATAGACAAGACTTATTAGTCGAAGCCCTTCCCACCAAAAATCTGATGCTTAATAATTTTAAGAAATGCGTTGGGTTGAGAATTATTCAGCTGCATTACGCCGTTTTATACAAACTATTCTTGCAAATACTACGATTGGAAAATGTATTTTATTGACATTTTAGTGTCATATTGGTATGTTTAGATGGCTAGATAGCTAATCAATGGATCGATGAAGGAATGGATCAATTATATATTTCAAAAACATATTCGCCTGACAAATCCAATCAGTTTTGATGACTGAAATAGATAAGATGATGCTGGATTCCCGTGAGATCTGAGAACAAGTCTAGTTTCTTCTTCTTCTTCTTCTTCTTCTTCTTCTTCTTCTTCTGTGTTTATTGTCAGTTGTCTATTTCTTCTTTTTCTTCTGCTTTTTCGTTTGTTTGCTGCCGATCGTATATTTCTTTTTCTTTTTTGTTTGCTGTCATTTGTCTATTTCTTCTTCTTCTTCTTCTTCTTCTTCTTTGTCTTGCTTTTTTTGTTTGTTGTTGATTGTTTATTTACTTTTCTTCTTGTCGATTATCTATTTTTTCTTGTTTTTCTTGCTTTTTTGTTTGTTGCCTGTGTATTCTTTCTTCTTCTTCTTCTTCTTCTTCTTCTTATTATTATTATTATTATTATTATTATTGCTTTTTGTTTGTTGTCAATTTTTTGTTTTTCTTGTTCGAGGTCTTGCTTCTTTTATTTATTTTCGATAGTTTATTTTGTAAAATGATTGCGGTTGAAATGGTTTTCTTTTAAAAAATATAACATGCCAAGGAGTATTTTATTTTATTTCAGTTTCTTTCTGAATTGTAACGGTTGCCCAAAGTATAAGAATTAAGCAGAGAAATCATTTGGTGCCTTGCTCTTTACAATCAAGTCATCGACCTAACCGGATTATCACATTGGATTATTTTTGAAGGGCCAATGCGGCGAAATTTTTCATTTTTACGACTTTCGACAATTTGGTTCCTTTTTAAAATAAGCTGGGGTTAATCTAGGTCAATAATAAGGAAAAACATTCAATTTGCAAATAAAAACGCAGCATTCGGCTTGTAAAAGTAACTTTATTCAAACTGAATATTGTCCAGTCTGTCAAACATCAAGAGTCAAAGTAGATTATCGTAGAAATGTCCCACTTTGTGCTATGAGCATTTCCATAGTTTTCTGATAGCTAAGGTCGATAATGCGTGACACGAGAAATATTAACGGTTTGAGGCAGATTGCTTGAGATCTGTTTTGCAATTTTCTTTTGTTACATGTTCCACAATTGCACACAGACATGCACACACGAATCATTTCTAAAGAATTAATAGATTTTATTTCTAACCCGACATTATTTTACATTGCTCTGAACGTTATCTTAGTAGATAAACGTGTTTGAGTAAACGCCATGTTTTTTCTTCTTTATTTAACAGTGTGAATTACGTCTACCGGCCTGTGCTTTTGAGAGACTTACTAAATACAAATGTGATCTCTACCCGAACGTGCAGAAAACACCGTCTAAGCCGGCTTGCTTCAGATCGCTCGGCCATAGAGACTGTCACAGTTAAGCAAGTTTCAGTTACATTGAAGAGATGTGCATTTTTAAAAAATGGTAATTGAATCTTAATGTAAACAGTTTTTCTGTTTGCTAATAAATAAAACTTCTTGTACTGGAACATCGACGTATCTTATGTTGCCGCTCGGTGTGGTCTTAGAATTTTTCCAGACCCTAAAAAACATTCCAGAACTGAACAGTGTCTACTTCATTGCAACAACATGCTGCTTCTTCTTTATGTGCCGTGTCCCTTCAAGTGATCATGGCTCTCCACAACTTCCTGTCCTCCGTAGCTCATAATAAATTTTGTCTTTTTGTTATTTGTCGTCAACTTTGTTCCGCCATGCATTTACTGAAGTACACTCTGTATATTATGAATTATTTTCCTCTGTTACTCTGGCCTTCAAGCTGTCCTGTGTGTATCAGATTTTCCAAGTCCTAACTTCTCACTATGTGTTAAATATTAGTTTCTTATTTGGTTCCATTTTCTCTAAAACTTCGTTGCTCACATATTCGGTCCATGGTATCCTCAGTATCCTTCTGTAGAACAATATTTCTGTTGCTTCGAGTCTCTTCTTCATCTTTGAGGATATTGTCCAGCATTTACTGCCATATAAGAGGACAGATATCATGTAATTGTTTAGCACTCTTTTCTTTGCTTCTAACGTTTTTTTCATTATGCTAATTCAACTAAATGCCCCTCCCCCCCACACACACACAAATTTCGCCACTCACATCCCATCTAGGTCCGTCTGGAACTAAGCGACAATTATCTACTTTTTCTTGAGAAATCACCTATCCAAATACTGATCAGGTTCGACGTTGCTTAACTTCTGTGATCAGGTTAAAGTTTGACTGCGTAGCCTACATTGGTTTAATATCGAAATATGGCTTGAGGTCAGTGTCTTCCCAGTGAATTGATACGCAGCCAAGAAGAAAGAAGTCAACAACTAAATTGACATTGGAGGAGGCTCTAAACCAGTTATCGACCTAATCTGGGTGAAGAGGATCAATATTGACCCTTACTGGTAGCTCACTGTTGGCAGACTACATCGCTTTCAAAATGACAACTGTTACTAGCTAATGCGGAAATCATGTAACATTCTTACACTGGACGGGACGCTTTGTTTGAATAATTTCACTAACTTTATTTTTAAACAGAGGACGTTGCTTTCACTTACAACTTAATAAAATCGTATGGTAAATCACATTTCCTTAAAGCACTTTCATATAATTCTATTGATTTAGTCTATGATACGGTCAAGTGCATTACGGAATAAACACGAGTTTACCTCTAATAGCAGAGAGTTCTTCTAATCCAACTCAGGTGCCAAACACGGAGGTACGTAACTAGATGTTATCGTAGATAAAGGCAATGTTTAGCGTAGTGGTTATAGTGGAAAGTTGAATTAGAGGAACGATAAAGTCTACGACGCTGTTTCCAGTGTAAGCAGTTTCGTAAATTAGCAAACAGAAAAGCTTTTACATTGTTTTAATTACAATTTAAAAAAAAAATGCACATCTTCTCAATGTAGAAGCTGAGTCCAAGACTGTTGCATCCTATTTCCACAAGTACACCTCGAAAGGTATAAATCTATATGTCCCACCATCGCAAGAGTTTAACAGAGTTTTCCTAGCCTAGGAGAAGGAAAACTCTGAATTCAAAACTAGTTGAAAGATGAGCTAACATCCTCTAAAAAATCTATTTGCTACAGAAACTATAGCAATATCGCTCAGTCTGGTGAACCGTTGTCTCTCTGGTACAGAGTGGGGAGTCTACAGCAAGTCTAAAAAGAAAATTCTTATTTTTCGACCTTAAACAATTAATTTTTACTTTATATAATCAGGTGTCTGTAAATAGAAACGTGAAAAATGTTTCTGATTCCTAGTGAGATGGATATCGGCTAGGAATGAGAAAATGAAGAGCCGGGTTCGAATTCCAGTTGGGTTCGTTATATTCACTTACGCACATCTACCCTTGGGAAAGGTAGGGATCCATCTCTTGCCACCAGATATTAAATAGCAGGACAGACTGGGTCCTGTAGCCTTCGTTGGTAACCAATCTACAGAAGAAAGAAATGGTAACCTACTACAGGAAAATCTTCTGCCTAGTCAGTCATGAATCGAAAACAACATGATCGCCCAACCATCTATCACGTTGCCATACTGATTGCCTGGCGAGCACCATTCATAGTTGAACAATCTGTTATGAGTTTATTGCTGAGTCTTTAAAAAAATCAATTATCAAAGTCTATTTAATTCTCCATTAATACCAAAGCGTGTTTTAACGCCCTACAAAAGGTTTTTTCTTAATATTTAGCAAGTGGGTGTCAAATGTCCATGATTAGTAAAGTAGCATTTGGCTTACAGCCATATCATATTGAAACAACGCTTCCTGTAAGATCACCGAAGTTAAGCAATGTTGAACCTGGTCACTACCTAGATGGGTGACCGCTTTGGAATACCAGGTTCTCTAAGCCTGAATGCATTACGGTTTGGAGTTGGAAAAAGGAGATCCAGTTCCTGTAAGGTGTGTAGTATTCACTTACCTTGGGAACAGGTATGAATCCACCTCTTTTCACCCCAGCTTGCAACAGTCAATCATTATTATCCTTAAAAAATGTTTACAATCTAAAAATATATTTCTGTCTTTCGAAAGCGTGTCACAAGGCACAAATCATTTATTTATATTTTTATGTCATTCATTAAAGAACTGGAGAATTATCGTCAATAAAGTATACTCGCTTTCACAATCTAACTTGTATTTTGTAAAGGAATCTATGTTAAATTCCCACTCTAAGTTGTGTTCATGCGCGCGCTATCTGATTTACACGAACAAAATTAAAATAAATACATTTTGTCTTTAGAAATAAAAAATGTTTAATTTTACTTATAAAAATTTTAGATTATGATTTTGTCAGTAAAATAAATTCATGCTCTATAATATTATTGCAGCTGTAAAAATTTCCGTACAGAAAAATTGGTAGCCTAAAAATCTACTGTTTGTTTTTGGATGGCATTAGGAGAGATTAGTTTTAACTAATTTCATTCGAAAGATCGCTTTTGATTAGATTTTATCACTTTCAATTGTATTTCATAATTTTTCGTTGTATTTTGAAGCTACCATACAACCTGTATTAGTTAACGAAAATTTGAATTAATTTGATTAATTAAAATTAATTGAAATGCATTAATTAAAAATTAGAAGCTTCTACCTTTCATGATGCAAGAAAATGAATAACATATTCAGCATATTATTCTTTTTCTATTTTAAGAAAGCTAAAAATACGACGAAACGCGAAAAAACAGTTTATATGTTAGCAGAGATTGTAGAAAAAAGTTAAATATGGTTAAGGAGAAAAGATTTATTCTGTCAATGACAAAATGTGTCAACATTGGTTTGCAAAAACATTGAATTAAAAAGATGAATAAGTTGTTCAACAAAATTAATACTGAATCCTTTATGTTTACGTAATAGGCCCAATGAAAGTTTTAAGCAAGCCAGGTTTTAAAACTGTGTTTAAAACCTTCAGGTGTTCAAAGTCAATCTTTTGTTTTTTTTATTGGTAAACTGAGGCAAATTAGTGCAGACTGACATCATTTATATATATATATATATATATATATATATATATATATATATATATATATGTACAATTATAGCAAACAGGTTGAAAGCCAACAAATCGATTTGTGTGAAAGTCAATAGCTTAAGGAAGATTTCCGCTCTTCGTGAAAAATCGCTCTCGGTAATTTTTACAACCCATTGAATCCACTCGGCGTGAGAATTATCAGCTTAAGAAGATAAAACGATTAGATTTATTTTTAAAAGAAGAAACCAAGTTAATTGCTTCTTTACAATTTAGAAATAGAATACAAAACTGATTTATTTTAATAAATGCAAAAATTATTTATTTTTAGAGCGTGATTTATTTATTTAGCAATTGATAGCTATTTTTCAGAAAAAAATTATTATTATCATCAGTTTGCACCAATTTCCTTAAACAATATTTCTTGTGAAATGGTACGAATAAACGTTTCCATACATTCAATGAGCGAACAGTTAACCTTTGCTGTCGGTCGAAATTTAGATAAAATCTTTTTATTGAAACAGTTTTGCACTAAATGTCATAGCTTTTCCTAATATTGATAGATGATTAAATAAAAGATTCATTTTGAACTTCCCACAAGTTTACCCAGATCGACAAAAACCTAATGACGGCAGGAGGATAGAGCATCTGATCATACTTATTATAAAACCCAGGTTGTGTGTGTGTGTGTGTCGTTTATATATGGGATCGGTTTTCCTACATTTTTCAACCGATTTCAACAAATCTTCACTTTTTTTTGGCAGGTAGTGTTTCTTATTGTCTTGCACACTTTTTTCTTTATTTTTACATTCAGAATGCTTTAAAAATTCCATTTACAAGACAATTGTTTATGATAAAATTCTATTCAATCGGTAGACTCATAACGATTGAAAACAATGTTTTTGTTTGAGTTTGGGTTTGACCAATTCGTAAAAAAAACCAACAAAAAACTAATTAAGACATGCCTGTCCATCAACCTTAAACAATAATCTTTGTCAATTTTATTTTTCAGTCTTCATGATGGTCGATACTTGATCTATCTCTTACTGTTACATCCTCGGGCAACGCCGGGCTCTACTGCTAGTAATATATAAATATATACATCATGAAATGAACGTCATGAAATGAAGTCCAACAATTACTTTAATATATTTTATTGTTATACGTTATTAATACAGGTACAAATCTTTAAAGTATTAACAACATTTACCTACCTAAATGTCCTAGAAATTTCATAGAAAATATGCATCCTTCGACAGGAATCGAAGCTGTATCCTATACAGAAACGTCATATAGCCCGACGTGCTATACCAGTTTAGCTACAGAGGAATCATCTGGTTATCAAGGTCGATTTACTACTTTTAAACTACAAATTTTCCATGATTTCCCTCGAACGTTTATATCTGCACGAAGCATATCTTAACGTAAACAAATGACGTCATATATTATGAAATGGACTAAATCCGACAATTATTTTAATATATTTTATTGTTATACGATGTTTATATAGGCACAAATATTTAAGTAAATGCTAATCAGACGCTTCCTTCGTAACTCTCATTCAAAAGGTTTTCTTGGTATGGAAATTTTTCCCGGATTGCCTGAAGATACCGAAAGGTTGAGACCAACGTAGGTTGGTCAGCTGATCTCTAATATATATATATATATATATATATATATATATATATATAAGGAAACTGAGGACAACAAACGGTAGCAGTCAGTTTTATGCTTCAACTTTATCCGATTAAATTACAGACACTTGTTTTGAATTTTGACGGTAATCTTGGGATATATAGGACGAGGTCAGATATAGGAGGTTTGTTTAGGTGTCAAATTCTCTTCATGTTTGACTGTTTAACAAACAAACCCCGTTGAAAATGGCTAATTAAGTGGCTGATGGCGCTTGGGGCAATACGGACAAATTTTGAACTGCCTGACAACCTCCAAATGGAAAAATGTAAGAATGCTGGAAAGACTAAATAAAATTTTATAAAATTTTTACTTGTCTGTCATATTCAACGAAAAAGAATTTAAAAGAAAAGTTGCTGGCCAAATAAATCAATATATATATATATATATATATATATATATATATATATATATATATATATATATATATATATATATATATGGCCAGCAATCTTTCTTTTAAACTTTTTTCGTTGAATATGACAGACAAGTAAAAATTTTATAAAATGCAACCAAAGTCTGATACGAAGACGACACAGACACAGACACATATTTATACATGATAATTCCCTTCTTGGTGTCAGACTTTGGTTGCATTAGTAGTGACCTTTAACGCAGTCTGTTTTAGACATTACAAAAAATATACTATGAAGATGAAACAAAAATATCAGGTGTCCTCAAGCAATTCTATTTTTAACGCCAACTTTGTCCGCTTAGCCGATAAACATTGGTAGACTGAGTCAACTGATGATGAGAGACGAAGTGACTCGATACGAAACACGAACTTTAATCGATACAACGATCAATGAGCTTCAAACTACGCATGCCACATAAAAATAGCAGCGAGAAGAATAAATCAAGACTTGGCTTTCTTTTCAAAACGATAAATTTGCACAATTCAGTCAGATTGATCACAATAATACGTCTTCGTTTATTCTTTTCTGTTTTTCACAGGATTTTGTTTGGTGATCTGATCATCTCCTATGCCATTCTGTAATATCGCCCACACACGCACACATAAATATATACACTCAAACACACACACATACACACACACACACACACACACACACACACATATATATATATATATATATATATATATATATATATATATATGTTTATAAGGCACTATCCGATTTTGCTTGATCATCGACACACTTCGAGGCCGAGCATGCTGGATTTATAGACGGTTTCTTCTGCCAAGAGGGATGCAAGTTCGAATCCTGCATTTTTCTTTAATTAGATTTCTCGAATATTTCGGCCAGTAGACGAAAATAAATAAATTTACTATAAAATAATAAATTAACGGAACATATACTCAAATTTGCGTATCCAGTAAAATAACGTTAATATATATATATATATATATATATATATATATATATATATATATATATATATATAAATTAAAAAGAGCTATTTTCTAGTTATCTGCAAGACGAAAACTCAGCAAAATAGAATAACTGAGTCTTTACAATGAAAATAACTGTACTATTACGATGGAAAATAATGATAGTTGAGAATGTTTTATTTAATAAAAACTCAAGATAATATTGCTACTAAATTAATTATTGTTTATAGGCAAAACAATAACATTAAATGTGGCAACGCGACGAGTTCTTGAAAACTTAAGCCCATATGGTTAGAACTGATCTTCTACCAAACTTAGTGTATCTAAAGCGGTAATGGCAGCTGTCACGGTAAGATATCTTCATTGGCGAAAATGGAATGCAAATTGAATCTTTATATCCTATCAAAGCGATTTGGGTGGCTGTAATAAAAAGCAATCGAAATTAACATGAAATAAATACCAACCAAACATTAAAAATGAATGAAAGCTCAGCGCGAATTGGATAGTGTGTATTTTCTTCTAGATTCCTCAATCTGTAAAACTGAACATTTTTTCTAATTAAATTTTGACTCGAGAGCCACTCAAGGTAGAGTTCTTGGCAAAATATTTTCTTGAAAAAAAGCTGTCTCAATGGAACTTTCTCCTTATATTTGGAACACGGAGGAAATGTGGGTGATCCGATTCCGTGGAAGTAACATCGAGTGTTCTAGTTTGAAGTGGTGGATTGAAATAATTAAGTCCATCTGAACATTTACCATGAAAAATAGCGATTTGTGACGTTGCGAGAAAGAGGCTACAGAGTGGAAATTTATTAGAATGTGAAAGCCAACGTAC